ACCCACCCAACCACCCAACCACCCACCCACACACCCACCGAACCAACCAACCAACCAACTGCAAGGAATATGAGCGAGAGCGATAGACAGAAATCCAAGGTGCAAAATCACGAACTAGTCCAGATAATCATGCACCAAGCAGAGAGCACAATGCACCAAGATACCACCCAAATAAGAGCAATACAATGAACTCATATGTCAATGTCGACGCTCTCTGGCCACACCAACACAGTATCCAATGTCGCCCCTACTGTCTGGCGCCCAGCGCCCAGCCTACCCTACTCAGCCTATCTACTCCTCTCTTCGTTCATGCAACTGGATCACATCGAAGTCGAAGACCAATGTACGTGACGTCATCACCAATTCCGACCGCCAGCATATACCAGGTACGTTATCTCTCCCCTCCCCTCATCACACCTCGACACCCCACCTCATGCGCCTCCTACCCGAAGACCACCACCGACATCACCTGCTACCGCACGCTCGGCCTGGCTATGGCCGCTGTGCGCCCGCTGCCATCGCAGCGCCCGCTCACCTCTTGCGCTCGCGTGCGCCCTGGCCTGCCTGCTCAGCGCAGCTTCGCATGGCGTAGCAGCAGCGTGGTCGCATTGCCTGCTCAGGCCAGATTGCCCCTGCCTGGGCAGGGCACTTTCCTTTATGGAAAGTGCGTCCCTGTGTCTGGCTGCGTGGGCCTGGTTGGGCAAGTTTCCAGTAGCTTCCAGTCGGGCCCCAGTGTCTGCGCCCAGGTCCACCTTTGCTGTTACGGGCCTGGGCCCTTTACAGTTGGGCACGTCCAGGCAGCCCTCCAGGCTCCAAGTGTTTGCCTCATTTCCATTGGCTACCGGGTAGCCGTAGATGTGTGACGACAATGCTGCTTTCTCATTGGTCTGCTGCCACTGCGTGATGTGTCGGCCTCACACTGCATGTGACCAGGGCACAACCACCCGAGCCCTGGGCTCAACTCTACGTCGCAGCTGCTTCTTCTGGAAAGAGCCAGGAGAGGCTCACGTCCCTCTATAACCAACTGGCGTGCTGCAACGGTCTGATACCCCACATGGGGAAAAATGTCCAAAGTAGGCCTCACACGGATATTCAGGCCCCCCTTCACTTAGGGCAGGCACGAGGCTTGCTGGGGGCCGTAGCCCAGAAAACTTTACATGTCTGATAAGGGCCCCGCGAGGGCTCATTCCTCGCACAACCAACCAACCAATGGAATTTGACCTCATGTTCGTTTGTCAGCGATCTTCTTCAAGTACCGTCGCTCATTCAGCTGCGCCAGAAATAATCGTCAGTAGTAAACCGCAAACAACCAATTAACCAACCAATGTCACACAAACCCATAATCACCCGGGATCAACTGCAACCAACAAACCAACCAATCACAATCGACGTCATGTTGGTTTGTCAGCACACTTTAGTTGACAACAACTCTCTCTCTCTCTCTCTCTCTCTCTCTCTCTCTCTCTCTCTCTCTCTCTCTCTCTCTCTCTCTCTCTCTCTC